GATTGAAGGTCTGTTTAGCAGTTTCTGTTTACTTGTTTAGGATATTGTAATGTGTAGCTCTATGAATGAAGTTGAGCTTAATTTGGTCTGTAAGATTCAACTATTTCACTAGCTTATGAAGTTGGGTTTTTCATGTCTTAGAATGTTGAGGTTGAAGAACATGTTGACGAACGTTCTGTGGATGACCTGTTATCATTTATTAACGGCAGAGGTACTTTCTTTTGATCTTACTCTGGTTTTCTAAAATTCGTAATATCCTTCCATTTTGTCCTGTTTCTTCTTTGGCTGCTCTGAGTTATATATTTAACATTGTACCACCACATTTTAGTCCATGTCTGGAATTTTTTGTATTGATATGATGTATGTTTTTGGTGAATTTTCTTTTTGCTCAATGCCTAAGATAATATACTCATCGTCTAGTGCTACTGTCTTTTTGGGCTACATAATTGCCATTTTCATGCCAAAATACTTTTTGCATCTGCATGTATGATGAATAAATCACGATTGATTTTTGGTGTCTTTGATCGAGATATTTACTGTGTAAAAATTTATGTTTGGGTTGCCTCTTAGTCTTCTCCTTTCTCTATTCTACTTCCTTTTGAAGGCCTCATTGGAAGTAAGGAAAATTCTGTTTCACAGATCCCAAGGTGGTAAAGATCTCAAAGGGGAAAAAGAAGAACAAGAAAAAGAAGGACCAGAAGATTGTTTCTTCAAATGAAAAAGAAGGTCGAGAAGACTTTTATGACAAGGTTCAGACTAGTTTCTGTGTTTGCTCCTGGTTTGTAGTGATCAAGTTAATGAATGCGTACCTTGTGCTTAGGAATTACATGATCTTCATTCCGAACAACAAGGTGGTGAAGAGACTGGGTCCAGCATGAGAGAGGTACCCAACATTCCTAGCACGGAAGTTGACATTTTTACGCCAAAGGCCGGGTCTGAAGATGGAGATATAGATGATGAAATCGATCCAGCCATGAAGGAAATGCTTGATAGGTAAGACTCTTGTTAATTTCAAAACTTCTGGCCAGGACAATTCTTTTATTCTTTTCTTTTCAGAACCAGGATATATTTCTAATAATGAATGTTAACACATCATTCTCCTAGTCATGAATAATGATGAGTAGTAGCTCCTTCAAATTCTTGTACAAACTTTATCTAGAAATCACCACGTATGGTTTTGTATGCACAAGCATTCCGATATCTGGATTTACATTAGATTGTGCAGCCCTTGATGAAATGAATTGAATGGTGAATACAATAATGTTATTACAGAGAGGTAGAGGATTTTGCTCGAAGGTTGAACTCCAATTGGGTTCGATCGCTAGGTCAAGAAAGAAGGCCTGTTCACTTTTCCATTAATGGCAACGGGAGTACAAGACGGCATACTGGTATGATAGATATCTCTTTGGCAGCATTATCTTTATACTTTTATCGTAATGTTGAGTTGAAAACTTGTGGTTCTAGATATATCCGTCTTTACACTCTTAGATGAATGATTATGGTTTGAATTTTTGAAGGTCAATCTCCAGGACACAACTGAAGGTGAAAACGCCAGTCAATGGCTGAAACAGTTTTGGTTAAGAATGCGAGCAAAATATAGAGAGAATGGTTAACCAGTCACCAGTGTTTGATGTGTGTCCTCATGTAACTTTTTGTTCTTCATTTCTCATTCAATCTGAGACGTAGGATGCAGTTTTGATTTATTTTACTTTCTAGTGAGCTCGATCGATCTTTTTCTTTGTAAAACCCACGTTTCAGAGTATATTTTAGTTGGTGGGTTCAATTTAGTTTCTTGTTTCACTGTGTTATATAAACTCAAAAGAAAATAATGAAGGCATGTTCCATTGATTTAGCATTAGTCTGTCTTTGTACTTGTACATTCGAATGATAACAACCAATTTAGGAAAAACGGGTTTTCTACAATAAATGTAACTTTAATTTAGAAAAAATTCACTTAAATCAGAGAGAGGTGGGTTGCATTTTTGCATTTTATCATCTTGGACCTAACAGTTGAGTCTATTTCCTTTGTTCCAATGGTAGATACTTTGTTGTTAAAGTTAGGATC